ACGGAACATCATTGCTTTTCTAATTATAATCATTAGATCCTGTCCCTGCAGAGCTTATACTTAGAAACACTGCTCACAAAATTTTCAGTGTCTCTGTATCTGGGACTGTAAATTGTCCTCATTCCGCATTCAGAAATCCCACAGCTTCAAAACTGAGTATGTAGATCACTGTTATTAAAAAGCTTTTTATTCCCTATTGCAGGCATTTCTTATGTTGTGCTAAACTGCAAAAAATTGTGAAATCTAATGGTTTCCAACCAGCACCTACAAATTTGCAAATGTGTGAGAGTTGCAAATTTTCTGAGCACAGATTTTCTTCTTAAATGTATGCTTTGCAAAACCTTGAGAATAAGTATTACACTGCATCAAAATAACATTTCTGTCGAGATTGTTAGGTTTACAGCTTAAATCCTTGTCCATACATTTTCTTTTCCGCATACATAACCAATTTGATCATGTCTTTGTAAAATGTGAAATCCATTACTAGCTCTAGAGAGCTGAAAGTGCTTCCTATTTCACAGCAGACCAGCAGCTTGGCACAGAGCTGCACACCCCTCTCCACATTGCTGCCTCCTCCACTTATCCCAACACCATCTGCACAGAGCCACCAGCTCCCCTTTTCCCAGCCCTTGTCCCTTGTGCCACGCCATGTCCCAGCTGGCCACCTGTGTGGCAGGACACCCGCAGAGCACTTAAACACAGACCACCTGACAGCCATGGGAGGGTAATGATCCTGTTTTGTGATGCCAATCAAGCATGTGACAGAAGGGCATAACGCTTCGCAGCCCACTGCTAACCTCTTGAGCTCCCAGTTGTTCATCACCTTCTGCTCTTTGAGGGAGTCCAAGTGAGGTTTCCACATGCAGATTTAAGTGGAGACATCTCCTACATTGTGTATTCTACTTTTCTGAGTAGATGGTGCCTTGCTTTGTGTTTGTCTCTTCAGTTTTATTTGAAGATTTATTCAAGTACTGCTAGGAAATCAACCAACTTGGCTATATGAGAGGCAGTGTGGTAGAAGCACTTCTTGTTTTAAGGAAATTAGAAATTAATGTTCCAGGGCTCGCAGGCCTTGATGAAAATTCTTAACTTCTCTTAACTCATGAAAAAGTTCAGCAAATATTGTAGTAGTAAAATTTATATTTTTCTACTGAAAACAAACAGGAATATTGGTCAGTTTCTATTGGCCCAGTCTAGCACTCTGTAGTTTATTAAATTTCCAAAATATGCAGTCTATCACAGGAAACTGCTGCAGCTTGTCACTGCAGACCAGCAATTGCCATCTATAATTGTGGGATTCATTTGATACATAGAGGAGTCCTGGATTCTGTGGAGGAAACACTGAAATACAAATGTACACACAGTGACAAAGACACCCCAAGGAGTAGGGGCACAGGGTCCAGCCCATCCCTCTTCATAAGGAGACAGCCCACACTCTCTGCACAGCCAAGGAATGGTGTGCCCCAGATCTGGCCTTTCACATTCCACAGCACCACTTTCTTGTTTATGAGTTCATTCAAAGCCAACACTGAGCATCACATAATGTTTATGAAATGTAAATTGCCTTTCAGGAGTACACAAAATGCAGTCACAGATCCATAAAATCAAAAGATTACAAATTGTATTGCAATATTTAGTTACTCTGTGTAACTGTGTACATCACTGTGAATATTTACTTTCTTTTTCTATATTTTTCCAGAAACAAGACCAACTAACAGCGTTGCTCAGAATCCTTTGAATGGAAATCTCACGTGCTACCTGTTGTGTAAATACACAAACAGGAATGAGCCCATCACGGGGCAAACAAAAGGCAAACAAAAGACAAGTTGTTTAACAAAGTCTTCTCTTAAAATGTGCATGTAAACGCTATAGAAAAAATATTCATCATTTGCTATATCTTTCCAAAACCACTGTAGCTAACTTTGTGAAAATTACATGTAAAATTATAAACCAAATTGAATACAATAAAACAAGGGCTTCAATTGCAATGGTTCATATTACATGAAATACTGACAACACATGTCAAGATTTACATTTTTCTTTTCCTCAGACTTTAACTAGTGTAATCTCACAAAGGAAGCATAGAGCATACAAATCCTGTAAATTCAGCAATCACTGTTAGTACATGATTAATATTAATGTTCTATTAGTGTACGGTGACATAAATATGGAGTTTCAAGGAGCAGTGTTTATCATTCTGTCACCAAAAGTTTTTGTATTCTCAACTTATAATACCTTGACTTTATCTCCACAAAAATGAAAACTACATATTGGAATTTCATACCACAAAGTGTTAAACAGCTTTGTGCCACAATTTTAAATTCCAACCTTAAATTTAATGAGTTGAGGAGAGAAAAAGTTCTAAGTCCTTCCATGCAGCCATTAAAAAGGCTCACATTCACCAAATAAAGTTGACAATCACTGATAATTCTGAGGAATGTAATGTTGAGATCAAAACATAGCAGGAAGAAAATTGAAGTTTTTTGCAGTGCCTTGCAGTAACTCATATGGACATAGGTGTTAGGATAGCAATTCTGTGCTCTTTTTAGTATATATGAGTTATCCAGCAAGAAGCCAGAGACACAGACACGAGAAAGATTTCTTTCCACTCACTCACTGATATCACTCTATGCAGTGGCTGAGAGGATGCTGGCAAGCCAGCTCTGCTGCAACCTGTGGAGCAGCACAAGAGGAGCAGAGGGAAGGATAGGTCCTAACACAGAGAAAATTTCTTCAGTTCCACAGCAGGAGGAGCTGCTTCTTGTGAAATGGCCCTCACTAGCAGATCCAATACAGTTGACATAGCATGTGTGTGCTTTTGCATTTTTCACCTGCAACTCAGGCAGCCCATCCCAAGTTACCATGTGTCACAAAGCGTGTGCTTGGTAACAGCAAAGTTTAAGGCACTTCTGGACCTTCCTTCCTCCTTAATACCCTAACTGGTAAAAATAGCGTTCTCCATTAATTAGTTACTCCTTACCCACACAGAATTCCCCCAGATTAACCATTTTAGCCTGGAAGGAATGCACAATCAGTCCATGCCAGTTCTTGCTCACTAGAGACTTGGAAACCTTTACTAGCATACCAGACACAACCTAAAAGGAGACATCTATCTCCCCCTGCCTGCAAAGCCCTCTCTCCTCTTGCCCCAGGGACGCTCATGGCCATAGCAGCTCCTCCAGGTCTCACATATGTGAAACACTCTGATTTTGCAACCCCACACAAGTGCCATCTGTCAAATCACTCAGACTGTAAGAGTCAGAACCCCTTAACAACATCTGTTATTTAACTAATAGATACATATAGCCCAAAAGATTTTAAAGACAATTTAGATATGCTTCTCTGTACTGAATAAGAGCTGAACTATCTGCTTGAACTATATCCTAACAATGGGCTGTTGGACCAACAAGACCCACCAGGACATTACGTTTAGAAACTCTGCACAGAAGCATCTTCACTCCACTTTTAATTCTCTCAAGGAAAGAAGCAGTTGTCAATGACCTGTAGGATTTTCTTTTCCTTCAGAATCCCCTTTGCAGCTTTGTCTCATCACACAGAGAATACTAAATACACACAAAAGAAACTGAGCATAATTCTAAAATACACCACCACTTGAAAATTGCCTTGTAGGAAATGGTACTTTACAAGACATGTGAATTATCACAAATGCATTTGAGCTTTGTCATCACACCTGGCTAACAGCTCTCTGAAAAAGTTTGGGTTTGGTTTTGTACAGATTAAAACATGTCTACAAAGAAATGATACAGCCTGGGAGGTTTCCTACAGCCTAAGGCCAAGTTAAAAGCTTCTATTTACGCTCCATCTCTCGCACTCCCTTCTTCCATAGATAGGCCCAATTCCTTGCAAGTGATCCACCTTACAATGGCAGAAGAGGGACTCTCTGAGACTCCAAGGCACTCACTGAGCTCATGGTGAGCAAAGTGGGAGCTGCTTGCACCACAGCTTTGGTGCTGATTCCCATAGGTGCTGGATGCTGTGAGGAGCCTTATGGAGTTTGCTTCAAGGGGAGGAGACAGGAGAAAGGGGAAGACAGCTCACTGTACGTCAAAGCAAACCAGCAACCTAGCAACCATATATTAAAAGGTGTGTGTGTTTTTGTGGGTGTCCGTGTGCCAGGAATAACTGAAGCAGATATTATTCCATTTGTAATCCAAAAAATGTGAAAAGGGAAGGGGAGAAACTCCAGCTGCTGGTCTATTTTGGGGTCTGTCAAAATCCCATACAAAATACAGAGTCTTAACACTTTCTATCCCATTTGTCTTAAACAAATATGAAAGCCTGGACCTAGGTGAGATCTCAGCCTTGGCCTGATGGAGACCTTGAGAGCAGAAGCCAACCTTACTGCACGTACTGCAATTTCTTCCTGCCGGTAATAGGCAAAAACGCAAAAGGTCACTTCCAAGATATCACAATTAGGTTAGAGAAATGTGATCTAGTGCCTTACTTATGAATGTACTCCAGCAGATACTCACACCTCTAAATACTTACACCTAATTTCTGAAACAGAAGCGTGAGAGATGAGAATCTAGAGTCGTGCAGAACTAGCCTTAGAAAGACTAACTGGAACAAGAAGTTCACCTCGTTAATTTTGCCGAAGTTTCCCACACAGCGAACGAAGGGCTCACTCCACACAACGAGCACCATCGCCCGTCAGCCACGCGCGGCCCCGGCGGTGCGTACAACTTCTGAACCGCGCCGTCCCAGCGCGCTACCACTTCGGTGTCCCCAGAGCCGTGTCTCCATGTGGGCGAGGGGAGCCGGGGTCACCTCTCGGGTCTCGCCCACCTCCGCCAGCTTCGCTCCCCGTGTCGCAGCCCCATGCGGCCCTGCAGAGCAGGCACGGCGCTGCCGCCCACCCGCTCACCCACCCGCAGCTCCGTGGCACTCCCGCACCACCGAGAGCTGTCCCGGGCAGAGGCTGAGCTCCGCTCCTCCTCACCGCCACACCGCCACCGGGAAAAGAAGGGAAGGGGAGTTACCTTGTTTTTGACCCCGCAGTGGCAGCAGACAGTCCACAGGTACTTGAGGGTCCTCCACAGCAGGATGATAAACAGTCCCCCAAAGAAAGTGACCATGGATGAGGCGAGGAAAGCCCACCACATGCGCTGTCCGCGGCTATCGCAGGGCACCTCCATGGTCACCGGGATGATGAGCGCATCCATCTTGGGCACATTGACGGGGGAGGAGGACGAGTCTGTGTTGAGATTGTTGGCGTTGATATTGTTACTCATTCTAATGCCGCCGCCGCTGCCGCCCGGGTAGGAGCCGCCGCCGCTGCCATTTGCCATAGCTAACAGCGAGCCGGGCGCGCAGGGGCTGCCGAGAGCTCCTCCCGCCGCCAGCGCCCCCCAAAAAGCCCATCACCAGCCATATTGCTGCCGCCGCTCAGCGGGAAAGGGGAAATAACGGGAGGGAGAACAAAAAGCCAAATCAAAACAAACAAACAAACAAAAAATAATCGAGAAAGAAAAGCGACCGCCGCAATCCCCGGTCCCTTCTCGGGAGCCGGCAGGCCGGTGAATTCCGAGCGTCCTCCTTGCGCGGCGTAAATAATAGCAATAAAAATAATAAAAAATAATAATAATAACGGCAAGGTAGTCCGCTCCTCAGCTTCCCACCCCTTCCTTCTCCCGCATACGCAGCCCCCGCCCGCCCACCCCCGAAAAAATCATCCACCACCACCGCCACACGCCGATGCCGCCGAGCGTTGCTCCGAGATCCCCAGCGCTGCGAGCCCGCTGCCGCCGCGGGGATCGCTCGGCCTCCGCCGCGGATCTTCCCGGAGGTGCTCTCTTATTATTGTTTTTAGTCTTTAACTTGTTATTAGCGATACTCAGTCCCCCCCCGCGCACCCTCCTCCTCCTCCTCCTCCTCTTCCAAGTCCAGCCCCTTCCTCTCCTCTTCCCCCCGCGGTGCCGGCAGCAGCCTCCTGTGGCTCCTAATTCATCCTCCGCTGGCCCATCTGCGCGGGCGCTGCCGCCGCCGCCTCCTCGCCCATCCTTCGGGAGCTCGCTCCAGGGCGCAGGCTGCCGCTTCTCACGCTGTTGCTCCCACTCGCGCAGAGGCGCCGCCGGCTCCCGCCCCTCCTCCTCGCGCGCCGCCGGGGGACGCGCTCCGCAGGAGGGTGCGGTGCGGGACGGCCCGGGACGCCGCGTGCGCCGAGGGGGCGCCGGCTCAGACGGCTCTGCGGCTCCCCATGGGGCCGCCGGGTCCCGCGGGCAGCGAGGGAGGCGTGCCGGCGAGTGGCGGGGCGCGGCGCGGCGAGGGACAGAGACTGCTCACAGGTGGCGGTGAGCGGCCGCTCCGACAGGTCCCGCCGGCCCGGGCGGGTCCATCGCCGTCGCCGCACAGTGGTCCCCGCAGCCGTAGAGGGGCGGGGGCGGGCGGCCGGTTCGGAGGATGTCATGACGCAGCGGCTAACGCACGGCGCTGCCGCGGCCCCCGATGCCGCGCTCCCCGCGGAGCCCATTTTGCCCGCCCTGCTCCGCAGCAGCCCGGCACGACATGGCTGGGGGCGGCCATCACCCCTTGGGGCAGGGGAACGGGGCTGAGGGGGGCTGAACGGGGCTGAGGGCCGTGCAGGGTCACGGGAGGCGGCTGAGCTGCAGCAGCAGGTGCCCGCGGGGCGGGAGGGCTCTGGCGAGACCGGGCGGCGGGGAGCGAGGAACAGGCGTCGGGGCTCGCTCTGTTCCGAGAGCGTTCTGGGATTTTTTTTTTTTTTTATTTTTTTTTTTTGTGAATGGACGCGGGGAAGTGTGGCAAACGGCCCCGGAACGTTCCTGAAATTAACCCTTAGAAATAGGAACAACGATTGACAGTGACGCGTTGGAGCTGGGAGAATCCGACAAGAAAATCCGGATCGCTGTCTCCTTGGTTTTTTTTTTTTTCCCCTTCAGATTTCCACTGTAAAGCAGATGATTATTTATTTATCTGTCTATTTATTTATTTATCGATCTCTTTATTTATTTATTAAATAAAGTCCTCATTTGGCACACGGTCTGCTCACCCAGCTGCTGTACAAAGTGTCACGCAGATCCTCTCATTTTTCTATGGGCAAAATGCAAAAGCCTGAGTGTGGCCTTCCACAGCCCAGAGTCACAGTGTTGTGCACTGGGCAACCACGTCAAGATGGTGAGCTGGTAACCTGTGCCAGGAGTCATGCCTGTTTCTGCAGCAGCCATGAGTTTGTTTGTATTTTTTACTTAAGTGATTGTAATGACATTCTTTGAGTCTTCAGAGTTTTTTATGGGTCTCTAAACCTTTCATCTCCAGTTCTTGTTTAATAACAATGCTGTTGGTCTAACTATGACCAACAGCACAGTAACCACAATACTGCACTTTGGTGTGTTCATTCAAAGAAGATCTTCCTTCTGCAGGGGGGTGTTAATAGGGGCCTCTGAGCAGAAAAAGCATGAGCCAGCAATGTGGAGGTACATATGTACAAGTGATGAAGCACTGCATAGCTATTTTCCAGAGGAAGACAGACACTCAGTTGCATGGTACACATCCTGCCAGCTGTAAAAGGGAGCTAACTGGGACTTCGGGGTGCAGAACAGAGGTTGGAAAGAAGTGTCACAGTTGTCACTCACAGCCTCACTCACAGGGTGATGCTGTGATGCCAAGTCCCCTGGTCTTTATCAGCCCTCCCTGCAAGTAGAAAGCCACCAGTTACAGTGTCATGTTGACGGGTTACACATCTGGGGACCTGAACCCCATCCCGGTAGTTATTTGCTCTGGGTTGGAGTTCAGGGAGTACCCGTCCCTTTGCAGTCACGCATCCCCAAGTCCATTCATCCACCAGCAAACCATGGAATGAGGGCAGGACATCAGGATGCAGCCTCTCAATGCTTGATCTTCAGAAGGGCTGCAGGTGCTCACAGATGTCCTTACAGCTAGCAGAAATCCTGAACCACAGCGCTGTACACACAGATACAAAGGATGGTCCCAAGGAAATATTCAGGTTCAAGCAAGCCAAGTCCACTGAAATATGTAGACTATGCTCTCAAATAATTTGCTTTGAACATGTTTATGCAACATTTAAGGCTTAGATGGGGATAGGAATTTTATTGTGAGCACCTGTACAAAAAAACTGACTGAAGTTCAGCTCCTCAAACATTCATAATCTAATCAGCCAATACATGCATCGGAACTTGTAGTTCATAAATGTCACACTATATACCAGGGAGTGATCTGTGCTAAGTGAACTCCTGTTATTTATGTAAACAGGTCTCAATATGCTGCAAATATTTGTGATGAAACTCACACACAAAGATAAACTGGTTGATGCCTGGTGAGGCATCGTCTCAGAGAATTTGCTTATTATGAGTTGCCTTTTAAAGGCAAAGCATATAGAAAGAAGGAAACTTTGTATTTTGTTCATGGATTTCAAGGTAGAAATACAAATGACACTTGAGTAAGTATCAGCCAAATTAAGTGCCACAGGAGACTGCTCACTATGGATAAGTAAAGGACGGCTTTCTGGTGTCCTAACACCTGCATTTCACATTGCCTGCAGAGCAAACCAGGTTTTCCAGCTATGTTTCCTGGAGCAATCTATTCTCAGTAAACACAAAATTTACACTGATTAGTCTTCTATTTACTATTTCAACACAGTAGCTCCAAATTTACTTATTTGACTGAATAATATTTACAGAACGTAATGAGCACCGTGTTTAGCTGTGTTTTTTCTACTGCTGCCATACACCATTGTCTGGGACACAATCATGTCAGCTTGACTTAAAGCTGGAGAGTTTGGTTGCTGAGAGTATTTTAGCAGCAAGAAAATTACTTCTCCTTATGTAAAATAGTTCCCTCTTGTGGATATTCTGTGCACAGTATCACACAGAAAGTATTTAAAATATTCATCCAAACAGGATCTTTGCAATTCAAAAAAAGGAAAACCTCAATTCAGAGAGGATCTTGACACACAGGACAAACTTCTTGTTAGCAGTTCCACATACAGCTGAAGAAGAATGAACTATTGTGTTTAATCAGATATATTTGACCTGCAGAATTGCTTGTTATCAATAACAATTGAATTAATTACAATAAACAAAACAAAGATAAAGTTGTATAAGTACACCTGTTTGAGTCAAGTATGAATCAGAGAAGTTTGGTTGGTTGGTTGCGAGAAGCCTTTTTTGCATTACAATAAAGAAAATCATAATTAAAAAAGAAGGAAATAAGGAAGTGTAAAGAAAGGATATAATAACAGCAGAACAGTAAGGATTAACAAGAGCCCCTGAACTAATTAATGAAGGCAGAGAAATTATTTGGAATGACAAATTTTTCATTAAAACTGAAGAACCAAAGCAAGCAAGAGCCACAGCTTCACTGGTGACAAAAAGGTATTCATTTGGCACAATGGTTAAAAAGCACATGTGAGTGCAGTAGCCATGTAAGATATGCGTGTTCCCTAAATGATGACTATGTTATACAGAGAACATTCCATTTTGTTAAGAAATGAGCTGTGGAAGACCAAAGACCTAGTCCCCAGTTTTGCCAATAGGCATCTGGTCTAATTCAATCTGGGGAAAGGATGGAAAGCTACAGCATGGCATTAGCATACTATTATCCTGAAGGAAAATGCTAGATAAATAAATAAATAAATAAAAAGACAGAGTCCTCTGATAGAATGCAATATACTGTAAACTTCTTCACCACAGCTTTTTTTATGTTTATATTTAAAATCTCCCCATCTGATTAAAGGTACAACATAAATGTTAAAAAGCAGCTTAAAGGATTTCAACATTCCAAAAATTAGGTATTTATTCATTTTCTATAACACCAGGCTTTGGGCTGCTACCTGAACAGTCCTTTTGTAGGATTTACTGCTGTTGCCTCCGTTGATAATGCCACTAGGCTAAATAATGAGCATTTGTGGCCAACACCCTCCTTCTTTACATTTTTGTTACCACAGCAGAATGAGCTTTTATATAAGTTCAGTAACTGTGTCAGAGGAAGAATTTATTCACAGAAGTGCAGGGAAATAATAATAAAAATTGTTTACTAGTTCATGGGCATGACTTGTGTTACTGAGCTCAGTGGGGCATTTGTTCTTGACCTCATAATGCAGACACAATATCAGCTGGAACTAGGCTTTACGTACAGTCACAGATGCCTTGCATAATTAAGTCTGAGCCTTGCTTTAAGAGTATTCCTTACTATTGCTAGCTTGTCCTGGGAGAAGGGTAAAAAAAATAAGACACTTCTAGTGATTAGACAGGTACAGAATAAACAGCATGAGTTAATTCTGAGAGATCTGTGATTTATGCAAAATGTTTGCTCTCTGGGATGCTGAGCTGCTGTCGTTAAACAGCACTAAGTGTGGCTCTGCTGCCTTAGCCTTAAAGAATCTGAAGTGGAAATTTTTTCTGGAGGTGATAATAATGGGCATAGAAAACTAGCGTGACCATATAGCTATATATTTTTATATGACAAATGATTATCATTTGTTCTTTCTATAGAGTTTAGACAAATTATTTCAGCATGTATTAATCAACAACCTCATCTAGCTTATTTTGCATATCCCCAATCCCTGTTAAAAGACTAAAGTATATATTTAGCATGATAATATATTGCACTCTCTAACACCTTCTTATCAAA